TCTCTTGAAAATATAAGATCAAATATCATTAATTATACTTTGCTTTTCAGAATTTTTTTTGCATTCTTTTATGTTATTTATTGCTCATTTCACTGCCTTTAAGATATTGAAAAGTTTTGAGTGATTTTTTTTAGAAAACAAAGTTCTTAACTTCCTTTATACCATTTGAGTTCTTAAGATTTTGCAAAGGGAAGTTTTTTCCTTTATTTATTAGGATAATTAATATTTGTATTAAGGGATATTGCTTATTTCATTGTAATTTTGTTATACGTAATAACTTTTTTTTATGAAGTTGTTCTGCAGGGTAAAATTCTACGCAGTTTTAAAATTTAACGTTTGGTGTTTCCTTCACCATTTTCCAGGTACATTTAAAAGCCAGACGAAGGCTGGCAGCGAAGCTGCTAGTAAGTGGAATAAAGCATCTATTAACACCCCGTCTTGCTTTTGAACTCCTGTCAAAATTTGGATCATTTTCAACAAATTGGTCCATAAATTCAGTTATAGTGGTCAACTCAACCTCCTTTTTACAAACGCCATCGAAAGTTCTTTTTGCTCTTCTTCGAAATCACTACTATCAATATTTTTGTTTTCTTCTCGCTCAGTTAATTCCTTGAGAAATCATTAGAAAGACTAGCTCCTGTTTCTTGAACTATTTCTTCGACGTCTTCCACATTTACCTCATCTAAACCGGTTTGTTGTTTCGCTAATTCCATTATTTCTTCCACTATTTCATCCATATCGACAGAGTGTCCATTGTGTTCGCTCTTACTTAAATCTGGCCGAATGTTCTTCCATACTCCTTTCAAAGATCTTTCTGTTATCTCATTCCAAGAAAGGTTTATGTTTTCTACAGCATTCATGATATTGCAGTTTTTCCAAAATTCTCTTGTTGATTGCGTCTCTTCTCCGTCTGTTTTTTCAAACATCTGCTTAAATGTTCGCCGCAAGTAACAGCCTTAAATTTTAATAAACGCCTGTTCCATTGGTTGATTAAGGCAGTTGTGTTAGGCGGCAAGAAAACCACTTCGACTGGAATGCATGTTGTTAAGTCTGATAAATTTGTTGGGTGGCTTGGAGCATTATCAATTAATAGTAGTGCTTTTTTTCTTTTTTTCAAGTTTTTTTTAATTTCGCAATCACGTTTAACAGACGGGCAGAAAATATTCAGTGAACCAATTCTGGAAAATGATCGTAGTTATCTATGATTTTTTATTAGACTCCAAAATTACAGGTAAAGTTGATTTGGATATTCCTTTCATCACTTTTGGGTTTTTCGAATGGTAAACATGTAGTAGTTTTAATTTGAAATCTCCGCTTGCATTACCACCCAGTAGAAGTGTTAAGCGATTTTTTGCAGCTTTAAATCCTGGTGCGCGTTTCTTCTTCACGGGATAGAAATGTTCGTTTTGGCATTCTTTTCCAAAATAGACCTGTTTCATCAACAATTAAAAACCAATTCTGGAGGATAGTTTCCTCGCTCAATTATTGTTTTTAATGTCGCTGGGAATTCAGCCGCCGGTTTCGTATCACCACTTGCTGCTTCTCCTGTAATCTTTATTTGTAAGATTAATTCGATTAAATGAAGATTATTTCGATGCTTAAATCTATTAAACCATCCTCGACTTGCAAACGAAAGTTTCATTTGTATCACTTGCCTCAACCTGAATGTAATTAAAAAGTCTTCTTGCTTTTTCCATTATGAATAGATTGGCTTAATGGCATATTGCGTTAAATTTCGTCGTCAATCTATATAGACAAGTCGTTTTTCCATTTCCTCTATAATTATTATTTCTAGAACGGATAATTCTAGTTGCAGAGCTTGACGTAGTTGCAGTTGCCGATGACAGTATTTTTTTCTTTATAACGTTGCGCGCCTCTAACTTGCACGCAACCAAGAGGTGACTGTGAAAGCTTGTATAAACCACAGAGTCTTATAAAGGGTTTAAGTCCCTTTTTATTCAACGTAATAAATTACAATGGCGTCCTCTTGACGCTTACAGACTGTGCCCACTAGGCAGTCAAATAAAAATAATAACCTGAAAAAGAAAGTAAAGACAAGATTCTAACAACGAGGCTCTCTAAAATAACTAACTCACCGCGTTTTACAAATACCGCAGCTAATTCAGCAGACTGAAGCTCACTGGAACAATTGCAACTACTTCCCGCCAAGACATAGGCCGCAACGCGGGGTTCTTCAATTCTCGATAACTACCTCCGCGCTCGCTAAGTAAGAATAACTCTCTCACCGAACTCGTTTCCTTCTATTTAAATCATACTACTTCCGCTGATAATTTGAATGCTTGCGCGTTCTACTCAAATTTACATATTCTGGCATTGGCAGTTCCAGGGGAAAGTAAGGATTGACAGGAAAGATAGTTTAAACTTAAAATAAATGTTAGTTAAAATAAATATAAACCCTACATCTTTATTCTTAAGAATTGTCCTCATTGTTGAAGTTGCCAAAATCAATGCAGCACTAATTTGAGATTGACGTTCACCAGAATCTAATCTTCTAATCACTTGCATTCTAGTTTCCAGCGAAATGCTATTTCTGGTTGCTTTCTTTTCTTGTTTTTTATTATCACCCATGATAAAAATTAAATATCATAATATTTGTCACTGTATTAATCGTTACAGTATTATATAAACGTATACTTACAATAAAGTCAACAAATGTTTGAAATGATAAAAATGCGTCCGTACAGCACCGTACCAAACAAGAAACACAACTACACTGTTTCGGATATGTTTTTTGGAAACCTAGCGCTGCGCACAATTTCGGGGAATACCCGGGTTGAAATAAAAGAGCGCTAAACCGAAACAGCGGTAAGCGGGGTCTTACTGTAGTTTTAACTTGGTTTTAGCTTCCTTATTTTTTTTTAAAGTGAAAATAGATCGATGTGTACATGGACAAAGTCAAGGCAGTGCGCATTCCGAGTTTGTGTAATTCTCTGATGTTTTATAAGTGAAAGTAGATCAATGTGTACATAGAGACCGAGTTTGTGTAATTCTTATTTTGGTTTTGTTTAGCGGCCATCTTGAAATTGTGGCTTCCCGGCGCCGGTCTTGGCGTCAAAAAAGGATCGGGGGAAAAAAAAAAAAAAGGAAGAAGAAGAAGGGGTACTTAATAGTAAACTGTTACCTAAATTTTAAATTAAAAAGTTGTGAATAACTACCATTTTACATGCAGAAAATTATATACAAACTTCAGCCAGTCATCATAATATTAAAACTCATGAATCAATCAGAATGAAGATTCAGCAGAACTGGTCTTTCATACTGAACACTTGACATTCTTATTGTCCTGCCATGTGGCCGTTTTTCTTTCTTATTTCAAGTATGTTGTAAAAATGTAAAAATTTCTTAAAGAATAGACGCACATCTTTCTGTGATTTAGCTGGTCAAGAAACTGTTTTATCAGCAATTAAAAAAATAAATAAATAATATAAATAAATAAATCTGAAATGTTTCAGATTTTAAATTAGGTCCAAAGCGATGCGTTTTTTAACATTTTGTGTGTTACCTTTATTTATTAAATATCATGTTCGTCGCACTTAAACCATAAGATTCAGTTTCAACAGCAATATCGCAAAATAATTTTAAAATGAGCATATCTTTAGAATTTCCGATACAGAGACTTTCCGCGCACTGGAGATAAAAAGGTTCCTTTTCTGCCCCGCAGAGTGTTGCCATTGCTCGCTTTGAAATCGTTGAGTTTGTTAATCAAAAATTCGTTAAAGTTTTACAAACTATAGGAAATCGATCAATAAAACAAATTTCAAATTTCAAATTTGGGTCTTCCATATGCTCCATATTCGTAGGAGGATTACGTCATTCAAAATTCGATGGCTCTATGTACTGTTGTTTTATCACAATACGAGAAATATACATACATTTATGCAGATTTTTTCATTATTAATTTCTTCAAATATAATGCAGGACTCTAACATTTTGTGTGGCAACAGTTTGAAAAGTGAACCGACATTTATAAGTCCGATGCAAAATGCCAAAACGAAACTAATAGTCCTTCGGGATTCAAATCCCTTTGGACTAATAAAATAAAATAAAAATAAAACACTCTTTTATAAAAGCTAAAAGGAAACATTTTTTTTTTCCTTTTAAAGAATGAGTATGAACCTATATGGTATTATAACTATATGGTTCAAGGAACTATCTAAAAAGTTAGATAATATATTGTACTGCTATAATATAAATATAATTATGTTAGTTCAATTTTTTTGTAATTGGAAGTAGATGTATCCAACCAAGGAAAATATGAAATAGACCTCACATAAAAATTTTTATGAACCTGCTGTAAGTTTAATCATAATAACATAAATGTGAAAAAGGAGCTAAGTTCTGGGAAAATGATGTTTGGAGTAGTCGGTATCACCGATAAAAGAGTTGATATCTAACAGATGGCATAGCAGCAGTTCCTTTATTCCATAGCATTTTTTATTTAAGTTCCATAGCAGCAGTTCCTTTATTCATAGCTGTAGGAATGCACAGCGTTCTTCAATTCATTTAAAAAATAAATTTATTACTTTCTTTGGTATCGGATTTTAAACTTGGCAAATTTTAATTGTCAAATAAATTACATTAACAATATTGACTTCTCCTATTAGAAATTAACTTGCCGAGTTAGAAATCTGATATAAAATTCTAAAACTATAAGAGATTGATTAATGAAATTTGAGATTCTAGGTCTTCAAGCGAGCTCTATTAGACATGCAAAATTGCAAGTTTTGTAGGTCTAATAGTTTTTGAGAAATGAGGGAGTCAAAAGAAGTTGGAAATGATTCGTGTAAAATACGCATGGCCGTATCTTGCTGTTTTCTTTGCTTGTCTTTTATGAACTCGACTGGCACACTGCCATGTGTACTGTACAAATACTGTTTAATTATTTTTTTCATGATGCTAATGTTAAAAGTTTCAAATGTGTGTTATTAAACTCTTACAGCTAAAAATGATATAATTATTTGTCTTCTTACTTTCATTAGGTAATAGCCTTCATCTGTGGTTTAATTGTCATTCTTTTGATGATCTTATGTCTTGCATCATCGAACTGGCTAACTGCTGTAAAGTTTAGACAAGGTCTTTGGGAACACTGTGTGGATGATGGTGCCATGAAACCTCTACCATTTAACCTCGATGTAAGACCAGGCTGTTATCCAGTTAGAAAAGAAAGTATGTATAATTTGAATATAATTTATTTTATTTCACAGCAACATCTCTAATAAATGTGTTGAATATATTTATGCAATAATCTTTGGGAAATATTTGTGACATTTTGAATAAAATTCACTATTGTACCATTCCTATCTCTTCATGTTATTAGCAAAATATATGAGTATTTCAATGAAGATATTAAAAATAAATAAGGAAAATATAAATTAAAAATAGAATAAAATCTGAAAAAGTTCAAATTTTAACAAGCCAAAAAAACTTAAAATTTAATGTGTTTTATCAGTAGAGATTATGAATAGAGATGACCATGGTGAAATTGCAAAACATTTTATAGGACTATACATGAAATATTTTTAGACGATATAGGTAACATGAGAACATTGTGTATTTTCTGTACAGTTAGAAAAGTGAAAAAGTATATAACTTAATTCTGTAAAAATATTTAACACTTTTAATCACATATATCTTGAATTAAATGCATTTTTATTTAAATCAATCACATAAAAAGTTTAAAAAAAATTCTTAGGAACTGAATACCTAGGATAATTTAATTTATTAATCAGTAATAGTCAGACTAAATTTGAAAGATAAATATCTTACTGAATGGCAACAGACTCGAATGAAAAGTGAAACAATGGAGAGTATTTTAAGTGAATTAGTGCAAATTTATGTTTTGTGATTAACAGCCCTTTTGGTTTAATAATGATTTTTAATAACTTCCATTGATGCCAGTTTGATATTTTGATTTATCTGCTTAGCAACTAAATGGGTAAGCCTTCAAATGTGGATAAGATCTCTAAATGCAGGTTCATAGGAATGAGAAAGCTGCATGATGCTTTTATGCATTTTCCTATATATAATGCAAATACAGTCAAAAGTCGTTAATCCGGACTCGTCGGGACTTCGGCGATTCCGGATTATAGATCATCAGTTTAAATCTCGTAAGATGGCATGCAGAAATTCTAAAATTAAAAATATGAAACCGTAATTTATGAGATAAAGAACAATTATGATCTAAAGGGTATCAAAATTTACAAAAAAAAAAAAAAAAAAAAAAAAAACTTAATATTTATTTGTTTACTTTATTAAACATTTCTTTCAATGTAAGATGTTTTATGTGCTAATACTTTCTCTTTAATTCTATATAAACAGACATAATTTCTTGTTCAGTTACAAAGTTCCGTTGTTTAAGTCCTGTAATTACTGTGCCGAGAATACCGACTAACTTGTCAATCAAAATTTTTTTGTTTTCACTAACCTCTCTGTCACTTTCTTCATGCTTATATCCATTTTTTTCAGCAATTCCACTTTTTGTTTGATGGACACCGAAACATACTTTCGCTTTGTAGATCCTTTGGGAGCTCCAGCATCGGAAATTCCATTTGACATAATCAAAATTTCAAGCTTACTTTTATAAAATTGCTCTAACAGTCTGCAAAAAATAATAAGCCGTATCCAATTCGAAGATTAAGGAACAATGCAATCTGCAACATTAACTGAAATAGATAATTAGATAATTTTAGCTTACACCCTCCGTTATACATTAAACGCGCACACGCATATGCACAGTAGTCAAGGTCTTACGTGCACGTGTAAAACGCCTGTGCGCATGCGCAGAAAGTTTTTAGCTTTGAGGTCTGGATTATAGATTATTCCGGATTATGGGTGTCCGAATTAACGACTTTTGACTGTATAGGTTAGAAACTCGTGCATGAAAGCATTCCTTCTTTTGACAGATAATCCAAATAATTACCTTCGTTAAACCAAACCAGGTTTTTAGATTCATCCATTATAATTGGTTCTTAAAACAATTTATTCAAAGAAGTCTTATGCTATATATCATTATGCTATATTTAAATAAAAAATGGAAAAAAAGGGGAACTTTTTTATAAACCTAATAAAATTGTTGAAATAAACTGGAAGGGCAGATAAGGGGAAAATGTCTGCATAAACATGTTAAAATACTTCTTTCCAAGGAATTCGTTGGAAAATAATCTTAACATAAGTTTTTCTAATCAGATATTTTATCTTAGTTTTGAAGTTGATAGTTGAGGAATCTTCAAAATTTTGCAATATGAAAGTCTTGCTTGCATGGTTTGGTACTAATTCTGGTTTTTAGCATTTTGCAATACTTGTTTTTTAGGTACAGAGAGGTAAATAAAAGGGGTAGATGCTCAATGCTTTATTGCTCTCGCTCTCCAGTTGATGATGAAACTCAACTTCCATTCTTCATGCCTTAAAATTGCAACTTAGAACATATATTAGATGTAGATATAACTTTGTTCTAACATTTATATTTTCACATAAAATAAGATTCTCCTCCCCAAAATGAAAATGAAAAAAAAATTTTTTTTTTTTCAATTTTATTTCTTGAATTATACCAAAGTGACACATTTTAAAGCTAATCATTTGTAGCAGATAACAAATGATGATGTGTTGGTTGCTTGCAATTTATGACCGGATGTTCATAGTGGGTGAGAGATTTGGAGAATGTGCTGGCCAGGATAACAGTCAAACAGTTTCTGTGTCAAGGTAGGTCAGGACAACACGGGAAACATAAAATTGTGCATTATTTTGTTGAAAGATGCTGTCATGCAGGCCTCGAAGCTAGGGCACAGCAATGTATTGGCAACTGTCCACATTACCAGCTATATAAACAAAAGGTGACCCAGTGTTGGACCCATATGACGATGGTGAATGCAAGTTAGAAACATTTCTTTTTCTTGGTGCCTTCACATATGGATAGGTACATCATGATGCTTGTATGCAAAATCGGAATTCATGTGAAAAGGTAGTGTGGTACTACTTCTGCGTCCAATGTAATCATTTCTCACGTCACTGTAGGGCATGCCTTTGCTGCAGCATCAAGGGAAGCCACAGCAATGGCCAAATCAGACCATCTGAAAGTTAAAATATATTGTTTTATTTACATCATTAGAACTTGTGTAACTGTGACAGCTATATGAGGGACAATGTGTTTTGTTTCAAATTTAACTTGATCAGGTTCTTTGGTAAGTGCCTGTACATTAATCAGTAATAGTCGAGGTGGTGCTAATAATAATTCATTTTTACTTTATTCACAGATGTTGTCTCCTCTCAGTTTCTTTTTTAACTTTAAATAATGTTAAAACAGTGAAAAAAAGATTGTTTATTATAAATTCATTAATGTAAGTATTTTATTATTGTATCTAAAATTAAATACTAAAATATGTGTATAAAAGTAAAATAATGAAAGTGATGGAACTGTATTTTATTAGTTTGTTTCTAAGTAAGTTTTTGAAAATGAAAGTACTTTGTCCAGCCAGGTTTTTAATTTAGTAATGTAAATGTACTTAGTGTTATCTTTCATTTGGTGAAGATCTCTGTTTTTTATATACTTTTTTCTTTGCTTCCCTCCCCTCAAGGTTACATTCAAGGAGCTGCTGCCCTTTGTGTAATTACGTTACTTATGGATATTGGAGCCACTGTGATGACAGGAATGGGATTATGCAGTAAAGATCCCACTCGCAAGTATCAGTTATACAGACTTGCACTGTATACCATGGTTGGTGCATGTAAGTTAAAACTGTTGTTGTATCATTCATAAATAATAATGAAATGCTTGAATTTGTATAGAAAATAAATATAAAATACAGTCAAAAGTTGTTAATCCGGACTCGTCGGGACTTCGGCGATTCCGGATTATCGATTTTTCCGCATTATAGAACATCAGTTTAAATCTCGTAAGATGGCATGCAGAAATTCTAAAATTTAAAAATGTGAAACCGTAATTTATGAAATAAAGAACAATTATGATCTAAAGGGTATCAAAATTTACACACACACACACACAAAAAAAGCTTAGTATTTATTTGTTTACTTTATTAAACATTTCTTTTAATGTAAGTTGTTTAAGTTGCTTCGTTTTATGTGATAATACTTTCTCTTTAATTCTATAAACAGACATAATTTCTTGTTCAGTTACAAAGTTCCGTAATTGCTGTGCCAAGAATACCGACTAACTTGTCAATCGAAATTTTTTCGTTTTCACTAACCTCTCTGTCTCATTCTTCATGTCTTTATCCATTTTTTGCAGCAATTCCACTTTTTGTTTGATGGACATCGAAACATACTTTCGTTTTGTACGATCCTTTGGGAGCTCCAGAATCGGAAATTCTATTTGACATAATCGAAAGTTCAAGTTTACTTTTATAAAATTGCTCTTACAGTCTGCAAAAAATAAGCCGGATCCAATTCGAAGATTAAGGAACAACGCAATCATCAACATTAACTGAAATAGATAATTAGATAATTTTAGCTTATACCGTCCGTTATACGTAAAACATGCACGCGAAAATGTATTCTGCGTTTGCGCACATGCATAGGCACAGACGTAAAAGGTCTTACGCGCATGCGTAAACGCCTATGCGCATGTGTCAAGGCGGCGCATGCGCAGAAAGTTTTTAGCTTTGAGGTCCGGATTATGGGTGTCCGAATTAACGACTTTAACTGTACTATATTTTTATTTAGTTAAATTTGAGTAGATAAAATACTTTGTTAGTCAAAGGGGCTTTGTCCCTGAAGGACTATTGTTTTCGTTTTGCGATTTTGCGTTGAATCACTATAAATGTCCATTTCACTTTTCAAACTGTTGCCATCGAATGTTAGTGTCCTGCATTATGTTTGAAGAAATTAAATAATGAAAAATCTGCATAAATGTATGCATATTTCTCGCATTGTTATAAAACAACAGTACATAGAGCCATCGAATTTTGAATGACGTAATCCTCCTACGAATATGGGCACGAGGAAGATCAAATTTGAAATTTGTTTTATGAACGATTTCATATTTTTACAACTTTAACGAATTTTTGAGTAACAAACTCAACGATTTAAAAGCAATGGCAACACTCTATTGGGGGGGGGAACCTTTTTGTCTCCAGCGTGCAAAAAAGAAGAGCAGTCTAGATTTTGAAGTACAGAGGAATATTTATTCACATTAAATGGAAAATTATTCACAATACCTTTAACTGTAATCTCTATAATGTATAACTCAATTAAAACATAAAGCTCAATTTACTGTTTCAAAACAATCATAAATTTTTGCTATAGTAACCAAGGCAGAACTCCAGATGACAGTAAACTATGAAAGCAAGTCAGTTTTATAAATTTGCAGGGGATGCTGTTTGATTATTGAAAAGTACTAAAAGTTCAATGAAATACATTTAACAGAATCTTATCCGCCAGCCCTTGAAAGTTATGAACATTAATATCTGTGTGCTGTACGTACATTTAATATTTGTGTGTTCTACAACTATGTGCTAAATAATATGTGCATGCTATAAATATGTAATGGGGTTGTGTAATATTTGTTTTGTTTTATAATTGTGTTAGGCCTAAGTAATGCAGATGTGTAGTAGTATTTAAGTTATGTAGTATGTTTATTATGTATGTTTTATAGCCATAAATTGTGAAAAATGTCACTACAAACAAATAACAAGTCATCACTCCTTTTTTATTGTTCAAAATGTAGCAATTGTAATATGTTGTTTATCTATTAATCCTAATATGCTTCAAAATCAAGTAATCCTTATATATATATATATATATGTATATGTGTATATATCAATTCAAGGTGAAGCTCTCAAAGAGGTCAAGGGCAAAAGTGATTTCTGTTATATGGGAAACATGATTCGGAACAACTTAAAGTTGTACTAAAATTAATAAGAAAAGTCATCATACTTACAGTGAAAAGTACACATGAAACACTGCAAAAATATTGGCAAAATAAGTGGAGAAAAGAAAAACATAATACTCTGCTGGCCATTAAAATTGCAACACCAGGGTATGCAAATGATTAGTATTTCAGCGCATTTAGATGACGCAAGAGGGAGAAACATTGGATAAAAGAAAAACTGTGTAGTGGATTTCTCATTTGGAAAGAGCTTTGTAAGGTCTGAGTTTGCTGAGAATATCGTGTTGTGCCTCGAATAATAATAAGAAATGCTTAACAGTAAGTGTTGGAATTCGATAAAGGAAGGATCGTTGCCTATTGAGAGTGTGGATTATAATTCAGTGATATCACCAGTTGCACTGGTCGACATCCAACCACTGTTATGCGAATATGGAATAAGTTGGTTGCTGAGGGTCATACTGAACAGCATGCACGATCTTAGCGCCCTCAAAAATCAAAAGGATCTTAACACCCTCAACTTAATCAAAAAGAGAGACATATTGTGAGGTCAGCCCTGCAAAACCGTACAACCACATCACGGACCATTAGTCAGGAAACGGGCATGTTTACAGCACACCCAGTATCCGCTCATAGGGTGCTTTGATGTTTGCAGCAGCATGGTGACCATTACTTTGCCTTCCCTTGACAATGCAGCATATAGAGAGACGCCGACTCTGGTGCCTGGAACGACTAAGCTGGATACAGGAGTGGCATAATGTCGTCTTTTCAATGAAATCCAGGTTCTGTGTACAATATTCTGATGGCCGTATACGTGTCTGGAGGCTCTGAGAAGACCACACGTTGCCTGCTTGCATTTGATATGGACATAGGGACCCTGCACCTGGTGTGATGGTTTGGGCAGCCATTGGATACATGACACGCACATCTCTAGCTCAGATTGATGGCAGTTTGAATGCAGATCAGTACATTTCTGACATTTTACATCCAGTATTGGCCTTCTCGATGCTGCCAACGCCATCTTCAACAAGATAGCAAGCCACATGTTCACTCATTCTGACCTCATCGATACCAGGTATTCACTGAGCCTGGCTGACGTCCCAGATCAGTCACCCATTAAACATCTATCAGCTGTGAGAGAGGGCTCGCCACCCATCTTCAGCAATATCGTCATTGAAGTGGCACAGACTAGAAGCATTGATGATTGCCAGTTTGTCATCAGCCCAATTTAAAACCATGCAACTGGCCATTTAGTGCAGGGCTAGACGATGTTTGTACAATCGCATCCATTGGTTCTTTCTGTGTTTCAATTTTAATGGCCAGTAGTGTATTAATCTGTCTTGTTTACCATTTCAAACAGAACTTGTCAGAACCGTAGTTAGGGTTTTCAGCACCTAGGGATAACTGCATTAACCCATTAACTGCTGCGAAAACCATACAAAATTCATTTCCCAGTCCCACGGTTTTTCACACAGGCGTGTAGTTATGCGATTTATTAGGGGGGAAATAAGTGCAAGTTTTACTTTCACAAAATAAAGAATAAAAGAAAAAAATGAATGCACAAAATTTAATGTTTTGAGTAAAAGTAATAAAATGATGTTTTTATAATAAAAATCCCCAAAATGGGTTTCCATCATTCATTTTAGACCAGTAAAGTTAATATTGGTTTCGTGTTATCCTTGTGAAACAATAGTCTAGAAAAACATATATTTCTTCTGACTGGGTTGAATGCCACCTTTTGTTCTTCATTTTTCGTTTGCAAGGTGTTAGTTCATATACTCGTCTACAAAACCGTTACTTTCAGTAATAATATGAAGCACGAGCAGTTCATCAGAAATAATTCAAAAATTTGGTTTGAAACATCCGTTATATCTTTCTTTATTCCTGGAACCTACTACAAAAATAAACGAAAATGGAGGACAAAGAATACGTTTTACTCAAACAACACCAGCCAATCACCACACAGTCATTGCTTTCACCGCTTTAGACACACTTCTCTGAAATAGTATCCTCCTTCACATACTTTGTCAAGGTTATTGTGATGTTGCATTCCAAAGTTTTATGAATAATTTTATGGGTAGCAGCGCAAAGCAAATGATAGTATTTTGGAAGGGCATATATATATACGCCCGGGGCAGTTAACGCATCGGCTGAGCAAGCCGTATATATATGCTCACGGCAGTTAAGGGATTAAAGTGTGTATCATTTTCCTCAATATTCTATTCAACTTTCAGTTTTAATTGTATGTATTAAAATCATTTAATATTTTTCAGTGGAATCTGATAACTTTTATTTCTCCTGAAGTATTTTTGCATAACATATACAGTCAAAAGTCGTTAATTCAGACACCCGTAATCCGGAATGATCTATAATCCAGACCTCAAAGCTAAAAACTTTCTGCGCATGCGCCGCGTTGGCACATGTGCACAGGCGTTTTACGCGTGCGCGTAAGACATTGACTACTGCGCATATGCGTGTGCGCAAGTGCAGAATACGTTTTCGCCTGCGCGTTTAATGTATAATGGACAATGTAAGCTAAAATTATCTAATTATCTATTTCAATTAATGTTAATGATTGCGTTGTTCCTTAATCTTCGAATTGGATCCCGCTTATTATTTTTTGCGCACTGTAAGAGCAATTTTATAAAAGTAAACTTGAACTTTCGATTGTCAAATAGAATTTCCGATGCTGGAACTCCAAAGGATCTACAAAACGAAAGTATGTTTCGAGTCCAACAAACAAAAAGTGGCATTGCTGCAAAATGGATAAATAAAGACATGAAGAATGTGACAGAGAGGTTTAGTGAAAACGAAAAAATTTTGATTGACAAGTTAGTTGGTATCTCGGCACAGCAATTAACGGGACTTGAACAGCGGAACTTTATACTGAAACAAGAAATTATGTCTTTTTATGATAAATTAAAGAGAAAGTGTTATCACATAAATGAAGCAACTTAAACAACTTACATTGAGAGAAATGTTTAATAAAGTAAACAAATAAATTAAGCTTTTTTTTTTTTTTTTTTGTTTTGTAATTTTGATACCCTTTAGATCATAATTTTCTTTATTTCATAAATTACGGTTTCATATTTTTAATTTTAGAATTTCTGCATGCCATCTTACGAGATTTAAACTGATGATCGATAATCCGGAATCGCCGAAGTCCCGAAGAGTCCGGATTAACGACTTTGGACTGTATATATGCTCACGGCAGTTAAGGGATTAAAGCGTGTATTATTTTCTTCAATATTCTATTCAACTTTCAGTTTTAATTGTATGTATTAAAATCATTTATTATTTTTCAGTGGAATCTGATAACTTTTATTTCTCCTGAAGTATTTTTGCATAACATATATTGCTGAATTAAAAAAAAAAAAAAAAAAAATCAGTATTGGGGGGGGGAGTATGGTTAAAACTCACTCATATATTTTTGTTTCTTTCAGTGCTTTGTGTACTGATTGCATTAGTGATCTATCCTGCCTGCTTTGCATCTGAAATTGAACACAGTAATAGATCAGTGTGGGAATTTGGTTGGGCATATGGTGTTGCCTGGGGTTGTGCTATATTTCTGTTTGGTGCCATACTTCTCTTGCTCTGTGACAAAGAAACAGAAGAAATTTATTACAAAGAACGGACCATCACCCATGAAAATGGAGATTCAAAAGCATAAAACTGGTTGCAAGAAATTGTACAAAAATATTACTAATATTGTAAATAAGATTATAAGTAGGGTTGCCAACAGAAAATAATTGATTGTACATTTTTACCTTAAGATAGTTTTTATTCAAATATATCAGCCTTACATTAAGTTTTATAAGCGTAAATAAAATTTGATACATCATGTAGGCTTTCAAGTTTCATTAAAATATGAGCGAAGCAATCCTTTGATCGACAACATATCTGAGAATTACATAAAACATGTATAACATTTCTAACTTAAATATTAAGTGAATTATTATTTCAAATAAGAGAAGTTGTTGACAGTTTTGAAAAAAGTATTAATTTTATCTTTGAAGTTACAAGATTTTAACATTATCTAATTCTGTAAATTTTTGTAATCATATTGGGAAAACAGAGATGAAAATTTAATAATATCCTTTTTAAAAGTCGTTGGCAACTCGATTTTTTTCCCTCTGAGAGAGACCTTTTGTCATCCATCCATGAATGCAGCCAGTCCACTGGAATGTGTGTTTTAACCCTTATTCTGACTGATCTCTTGAAGCTTTTTACATTATTTCTTCTGACTAATCTGACATTTTCACCAAAGCATACAGAAGTTTTTTTTTTACGTCCAGAAATGCAGTGCAAATGAATTTCTAAGTGTTAAATATCCATTATTCTAATATGAATAAACTTATTTCTTATCTTGTCATGTTGTTGCTACTCTGTAAAAAGCAACAAAAAATGGAACACTGCAAAAATGTGTAAGTGCCATGGTTGAATCTAATTATGGTAATGTCTTAAAATGTTTCCTTATCTGATGTATACCTTATCTAGATCAATATTGATAGTGCAATGTTGTTCAAAATTTATATGTGTATTTAGTGCAATCATTATTTTTGCTTGAAGTTTAGAACTGTTTGTCTCCCTCCTTATAATCAATCTTTCTATGTAACCTCAAATTGTTAAATTTGGAATTAATTGTCATTCAAAATATATTTTCTAGTTTTCCTTTCTTTTCTTCTATTAATTTGGTAAAGTTATGTAAAGAAAAATTCAAGCTTACAAATTATGTGGAATTATCACAAATTCTTTAATCGTTTGACAATTCTGATAAGTTCTTTTTACTTTCATGTAAGATTTTAAGGTTAGCTGTTTTAATATCATTTGAATTTGATGGGATATATATTTATATAACAGAAATTAACTAAGACATATATGGATGTTACAACTTATATATTACTCTCTAAAACTTGCTATTAGTTTTACTCTGCGTATGGTATAACAGATGTATGTTTCTTCCCATTTTTTCAACTATCTTATATGTTAGACATTTTTTTTTTTTTTTTTTCATGAAAAAAGCTTTTATATCTTTGATACATGACAATTTTAATCCCCTTGTGCGAGCGAATTCGTTTCTATAACCTACAGAAACGTTTTCAAATTTAAGTTTAGATCATGCATTAGATTGCATTTCACTGTCTTTTCATGACTTCATTCGGGATGTTGCTTTATTGTCACTGGCAGAAGAAGCATGTAAAAAACATTGCAGAATTTGAGGCTGCACCTATTTAGCCACAACTGTATGTGGCTTGTGCCTTGAACTAGAAATAAATTATGCAAAGGGTAGATTCATTTTTAAACATTTTTTCTGATAATGCTGGTTTTATAGACCAGTGGCTACACTGCAAAGTCACAATTATAGGCTCTTATGACAAGTGTTTTTGTAAATTGTTAATTACCATTATAATTTGGTTTAATGTTTATATATTTCCATGGTCATTAAAATAAAATTTTGGTTAATTTGTTGTTAAAGTATTAATTTTTATTCTTATAGTTAAAAATTATTTTTTAATTATTGTATTGATTGTATCTTTTTGTAACTGTAGTGAAGAAAGTGTTATGCAAAATTATATTCTGTAAGTTTTTTAATAATGTATGTGTATGCCCTTATATAGATACCATTGCCCTCAGGTATTTAAACGAATGAGGCTGAATTAAAAGATTCCATGCAAATTTTATTTTGTATAAAATTTAATTAACTTTTTCTGATTATTGAAGATCAATGCATAAATTATATATGGAGTTATACCTTTTTAGTGAGCCATAAACAAAAAAATCCCTCCAATTTAACATAGTAACCTGATATTTTTATTTTCAAATTATATGTATTGTAAATACTAGCTGTTGAAAAGTCCCAGAAATATAGTTTAGAGTCTTTGTGTAAGTGTATATACCAAATGATATTAAAGAATGTGTTGGCTGATACTTGCAAATATGTTTATTAGGTGAATCAGGGTTTCCTAACTATTGAAGTTTTCATAGACATTTGCTTTTTATATTCTTTGTGTATCTTGCTAACATACCTGAAGATCATAGAAAATAGTGCAGTAGCGTTAGATGTGTTAAGATAGTTTACTTCATTACTAATGTTAATGTTCTTAAAAGCCTAAAATATATAAAAAAATATTAAAACTCTGCATTTTTTAGTGTAGTTCTATTACACTGTAAGTTATAATACTTAGTAACACTGGTAGGCCTAATGAATTACAAACTGTATTGGTTGTAAAAATTATCTGTAACCTAATTTCTTCGGTATCCATGTGAAAGTCTAATTAAAAATCTAAAATCTAAATAAATGTATTCTTTATCTTATTCTGACTTTTTTTAACATTAAAAAATGTTTACTAATTATTTCATAAACAAAGAAGAAAATAATAACCACCTCTGAAGTTTTTAAGATTCCTAATGTATTTTCTAAATTTGGTATTAAAATCACAGGTCTTTCAAGATATAACTTTCTTGAATAATAGTACTCATGCTAATTAAAATTTTAATGTGAAATTATGAAAAGAATGGTCATATCATGCTGCATATGGATAAGTTCTGCTTGTAGAATACAAATTGTTTATGCACACAATAGAAGTATTACATGCAATCAGTCTGAAAGCATGGTAAAACTAAAAGACATAGAAAATTACAGCTTTTGTAAGACATTATTATAGTACTTTTCGTATTTTGAATAATTAATCGGAATGAATAGATGTTTTATTTGGTATAAATCTATATTTAAGCTATCTTCAGTAGAAATTCCAGTTGTTATAGAGAAGAAAGATGTTATACATTTAATATGAGTTGAAATTAATGTTGAATGGTTGGTGTCATGTCCTTTGAGAAGTCAAACAGATCCATTCATGGAAATTGCTGCTTTTGCCAGATCCGCAGTCTTTTCAGTGTAGAGCTATCCCTGCGGAAATTTTCCCCAAGCTTTGCAGAGCTGCAAGTATTAGCGGACAGGTAAAGATGTTTTCTGGAGAAAGCTCCGTTTCGGGGCAGTTTCTACAACTTCTATATGATCTGGTACCATTTTCATTCCTCTAAAATGGCAGGTTCTCAGTCTAGTAATGGCCTTTGTGATTTCTCTATTTGCATCAATCTCACATATCTGATGGTCTTTCTTAATAGATTTATCTTTGAATCTCTATCTGGCAATGGCATTAGCATCTTCAAGTGTGACGGGGATCAAGTTGTTGATATTTCTTGTCTTTTTAGTCAGTTTGTCTGCTTCCTCATTTCCATCAATTCCAACATGTGCGGGTATCCATTGCATAATGCATGTCTTTCCCTTCAGGTTGATTGTGTGTAGGTATTGGTGTATTACCCGGGTGAGTCTTGAATGTCCTTGCAGTATTGCCACTAGGGCAACCTTAGAGTCACAGTAAATTATAAGTCTGCTGGCTTTATCATTATCATTTGATATATGAAATTAATGTGATTATATAATATTGATACATTTCATGAAGCAGATGGTTTTTTACTTAATTAACACTAGAAAGGAAATGGTATTTGTTTAACACTTAAGCTTTAAAAACGATAAAATTACTATAAAATGTAAACTTCTATGTATAAATTTCTGTAGTATCCATATATTCAACTTATTTCATCTAAATTGCTGCATAGTTTCTTTTTAAAACAGAACCATGTAAATATACATTGGGTAGTTAGGAACCCTGTTTAGATTGCTCAAGGTTCTACTTGAGCTTATGAGATGAAGTAAGTGTGTTTAACTTAGATATGTAATTTATTTTAGATTTTATTTTATACCATTAGTGTAAAAAGGATTGTTTACAATTTATGTGAATAATTGATTTTGAAACGGGTTAACAGATAAATCTGAAAGCATGTTAAATTTGTGTAATGTGTCTTTTCATGTGTAATAATTTAAGGATTTTACAAAAATATTAAATGAATTTCAATTTTTATAATAAACAAAAAAAATTGAACCTGAATTATATCTTTGACATTTTTTAACCAAGACGTTCATTTTATTTTTCATATTTGTACACTCTGTTCTCGATTTACAAATAACAAATGCCAAGTAGAAATGATTTTAGTGACATTTTCTGCGGACAGGTGTGAAATTAGAAATATGTTAATAGATTAATAGTAGATAGCAGTGTTAATAAGATGTAAAATCTTTTTTGTAATGAAATTGTCTCGCTGTGTTTCATTACAGTATTTTCCAATTTTTTAGGAAATGCCAGTATTTACTTAGTTTTTCTCTACCTCTATATTAGATATATATTTTTTTTTTTCTACAGTCTGTAATGCGTTTATATTTACTTGTACCAAAACTGTTCTTCCTCTATATCTTTTAACAGACTGTTGTCCACATTTCCACATTCATTTAAACTTCAGTTGTCCAAAATATATGTCAGCTTTATATTTTTATACATTATTTCTATAAATTAAAGAACAAATCATCATTATTAACTATAAATATCAACAAAATAGAATAGTTAAGTGCAAGTTATGCAGTCATCGTTTTATGCAGATTAAATATGTAATAAAAGCCAGCTGTTAGCTTCAAGTAGCTTCGAATGAAAAGAAAAAGGCAACTCGAAGATATCAAATAAGTTATAAGATTAAGCACTTTTCTTCCTCATTAGAAATCTAAAAATTGTCCAGAATCAAGCATAAGCAATTGATAGAACTGCATTTTGTAGAAATCTTTTGTAGAAATTTGTAGAAACACCTGGCTCAACTTGGCTTCAAACTTGATGAAATGCATTTAGTTCACATGCGGAGAACATTACAGTTAATCATTGAAATTAGTGCTGCATAAAATAGCAACACTTTTTTTTTAAATTTCTATATATTTTCAGTCACAAAATTAATTTCTTAATATGGTTTTCTAAAATATTTAACTCGAGAACTGAGTGTATCTGTTTCATTTGTTCATTGAAATTTTTAATGCTGAGTTTAAAAAATAAAGCTTATCTCACTGCTTCAGCTTTGTTTAGATTTTAACTCTGCTGATGTCTGGTCATTTATCATAGTCAATAATATCAGTGAATGAATAGTACCAGTGAATTATAAATGTTGCATAAAATATTGCATACATGAATTTATACTTCATGACCATGTCTGATTTTGCATTTGTTGTAAGCTCCTTCTTTACATTCTTGTGAATAAAAATTATTCTGTATAGAAATGAAAATAGCATTTTTTTTTCTCAAAGCAAGGCATGATTAAAAATAAAAACTCAAAACTCTCATTATTCAGACACACTTATTTTAAGGTCAAACAGTAAATCAAAATTAGAAATTGAAATTAAAAATGGTAATTATGATAATGGTTTAAAGTTACCAGATACTGAAAACCCTTAATTGTGTATAACTTAAATAATGAAAAACTGAAAGGTTCTGGTATATTCAAATGGTATACATATAAAGAGTCACCCAAACGGTTTAGCGGCTAGCGTCGCTTACTGCCTGCCGTGCTGCAGGGCCTGGGTTCGAATCTTGGAGAAGGCTTGTATTTTTGTAAATGCATAGTGCCGATGCAGCATGGGAACATTCTAATTTTGCAGCAAGCTGAAAGTCCTCTCGAGGGGTTGGTGGTAGGGAAAGAGAGGTGGGAGGCCCTCGGACCCCCCGCGTCCTCTCTGTCAAAATTTGGGGTGGAACTGAGCTAAATCGCACTGTCACATGTAAACTGCTCGTGGCTATTGCTGACAGGCATATCTTGCGCTCCTTTATTTACAAGGTATTTCCTGAGCTTGGGCTGACTATAGCTCAGAAAAATGAGCATTAGTCAAAATAATAAGTAAATAAAGAGACTCAGCAATATGGCACATTGAAAAGAATGTCTTATTTGAAACCCAATAAAATCCTACATTTTTCCATTGATAATTAAAATAATGCTAAATGTTTTAAAGCTAGGTCACTTTTCCTAAATGGTTCATTATGAATGATGACTTATGGTGAAGTACGATCTAAAATCAAAAAGGAGGTGAAGTATGAAATGATGCAGCCCAGGGTCTCCAAAAAGGTTAGGCACAAGAAGTCGTCCATTAAAACAATGCTGATTACCTTTTTTGATGCTTGAGGAATCAATCATAAAGGATAAAAGCCAAAAGGCATGACATTGAATGCAGCAAACTACATGAACATCGTAAATTACCTCCTGAAAATGATCAGACGTGTGCGTTCCCAGTATATCGAAAATGGATCCTGGTGCCCACTCCACAATAATACATGTCCCATACCACCACATCCATGCATTTACAAGAGTTACTGCATTCCATCACCTCCTATTCTTCAGATCTGGCCTCTGCTAAATATCTCTTCTCCTTTGCTTGAAGTAACATTTATTAAGATAATGGTTTTGGGAGATTGTGACATGATCCAATGCAACATGAGTGCTGAACTCGCAGGTTTCCTTGGCCTAAAGTATGCAAGAGCTCTGCAGGCATTCAAAAGTGCATAACCATGGAAGAGAATGATTTTAAACGACAACAAGTTGTATTTCTGCATTACATGTACACCACAACAAGTTGTATTTCTGCATTACATGTACACCACACAAAAAAAGGGAGGAACAGTTCTGTATCTCCCATTCTACTGGGCCGATTGACGAAATTAAAATTGCGTTTTTCATGTCTCGAAAGTGCTGTTCTAACATAGTATTTTGACACAAAATCAGACTTTCCCTGAAATAATATATCAAATTTTTCTGTATTTTTATTCTATGACTCATTATGCCTGAATATTATGAGAAATTTACAGAGAAATTCAAAAATTTATCTTTGCATATTTTTTTCAGTTTGCGCCAAGAATAATTCACTTAGCGGAATTGTTAATTTATAGTAACCTACTTACTTTCCTTTTTTCCTATTGATGCACGAGAGGAAAAATAGTTCCCTCGTTCATTCTTTCCAATAATTTTAACAAAGCGTGTAAACCACATTTTTGTTACTATCGCTTATATTAAATACGCCAAATTTCAAAATGCGCCAAAATGTAAATTCACATATATCTTAAGAAATTTTGAATAAAAACTCTAATTTTTTGTAGATATGTTTAGAAATACATCTACATTAAGATGATGTTAAAAATTTTATAGGTTACTATACAAAATATTTTCAAAAAATTTTTAAAATAAATAATAAAAAATGTGCGAATTGTGTCAAGCCTAAATTTCGAGTTCTGGAAGAAGGAATCAAGTATGTTTAATAATAAAAAAAAAGACATATTGATAAGTATATATCAAATTCAATTAACATTGAGGTGCTAAAATTTTGAGAGCAAAAAAACTACTCTGCGTTTTTTTACAAAATTTGGCAGTTTGGCATAATTTGAGTCGTACAATCGAAATATGAAAAAAAACTGGCATATCATTTCAGAAAAAAATCTGATTTTATGTCAAAATACCTATATTGAAACAATGCTAGATATAAATCTAATACATATCCTAAGTTGTGCCTTCGAGATATGAGAAACACAATTTAAATTTCATCAATTGGCCTAGTAGAATAGGAGATATAGAAATGCCCCCCCCTTTTTTTTATGCAGTGAACATCCTTTTCTGTAAATAAATTATCAAATTGATCATTTATTGGTTTTATTGATAATACGAATAATAATTAATTGGTGATGACAAATATAAACTCACTTCTCACAAATAAAATAGCTATATTGCAGTACCTTCTGGCCACAATTCACTAGCAGTTTTGCATACACACCTATCAGTATAACAGAGTTTGTAAAAATTCTTTGAAAGCACATATCACCACAATTGATTTGCAACTATCAAACAAGCTTTAAGAAGGAGAGTAAAGTAGCATTGTGATAAATGTGGAAATAGTCTGGTACTCTGAGGTCAAGACTGTTTTTTGGTTTAATGGCTTAGAGTATCAGGTTAGGAAACAGTAGTTCCTAGGTTTTTAATCTCCTGGAGCTGGGGCATGTATGTCCTGAGGATTCAGTGCATTAAATAAGGATCAAAGAAATTTAATTTATGATGTTTATTTATATTTAAAATTTGCTACTTGATGTGGAACAGGAAATGGCAAACAATATCGATTTTTATTTCTGATCCTTGCTGATTGAAGAGTTGACTAAAAAGCTTCAATATGTAAAAAATTACATCCTATAGGCCCATATGAAAAGAGCCATTCCAGCCAGTAAAACTGGCATTTTACACCATGGATGATCCAGAGGCTGTTTGCAGATTTTAGTGGGGGGGGGGAAATGCTTGGATTTTTTTTTTCTTTTAACTGCAACTATATTTTTGAAAGTATAAATTATCATCTGCTACTTAACAGATTTGTTTTTATGCAAAATATCACTTTCAAAGAAGCAATGGATGGAAGGCTGTGCTTATGTACTTTCTGAAGAAAATTATTTGTATGCAGTTGTTGTTAAAAACATTGTGAAAGCCATTGTTTTTCAGTATCTAAAGCTACAATAGGTAATGTTGTCAATCACAAAGGGGGAAAAAAATAGCTTCAAGTAGAAAAGTTGTTCCAAATGTGCATTCAAGGTAAAAATGGAATGCTTTGAATGCTGTAAATGTAAGCTATTTAACAATAAAAGAAACTCTGCCAAGTCTAAGGACAGTTGTAAAATTATTAAAATGCTCAGTACCAACTCTAAACAAAGTGATTAATGCTGATTTGAATCTTAAAAAGGCAAAAAAATGTAATTTGCATTGACTTTCTACACAACATGATCCAGAATGCACAGCAGAATCCTTTAGGAGAAACATTTATTGGACGAAAATGGAAAAATGCTGTCACAATGGAAGAATTTTAGGTATACTTAAATGGCTGCAATAAAAAGAGATCCATTTATTATCATCAAAGGAGGGGAAAAAATCTTAAAACATGGTTCAAAAAATTCAAAGGAAGTTTTTCAAAGTGTTAATGATTGTTGCTGGTTTTTCATGACTACAAATTAAAAATAAAGAGAATGGATAAAAATGTTAAGATCAACTCCACCTATTATCAAAAGCTTATTTTAGACCCAATTTTCAAATATGAAAAAAAAAAAGAAAGAAAGAAACTGGTATTAAGGCCATACCCTCCATACATATCCTTACTAAGTCTCATGATCTATCAGCAATGTATTTTTGCACTTTTTTTTTAAAAGCCAGTTGTCCAAATGTCGACCTACAACCCTCCCTGCAGTTTGGAAAGCTGTTCAAGAGGAATGGGATAAGATACCTCTTCGAATACTTTAAAATGTCTTGGAAATTACGGTGTATAAAGATAGGGCAGAGTAAGGGCTATCAAACAGAACATTTAAAACATAAAAATTTTAGGTAAAATATTCTTGTAATTACAATAAAAATTGTCTAAAAAATGTATGAACCTCTATTCTCTTCAACCTGTGAGATGGTGCTACCATCATAGTAGTCATTCATTGCTGAAAATAAGCACTAAAAATAATACCCTGAATGTTAAAAACAACTTTTAGCGTGATCTTACCTTTGCTGTAACTTCCCATCTCTTTTCTTTGAAGAACCAGTGCCAGTTGTTATTTGCATTTGTAATAGAGTTAATAAGTCGTAATCTTGCTTCAGTACCTCATACATTCGTTGCACTTTTCCCCAAGCAAAATACAAAACTGAACATTAGTTACACACATGTAATAATTATGAAATATTCTATTAATATTTAAAAAAATATTTCATTCATACTATGCATTGAAAAATAACTGAATTTGTATTCTCTTTGTGTACACTTTATAGTATATACTGTGGCATATAAAAGAAAAAAAAAAAAAAAAAAAAAAAAAAATCAATAATTTTTATGAACTTTATTGTAAATTTGAAGGTAACAATATAACATTCAAAAAGTAAATTTTATAGTTCATTATAATTAATGAAGTTAGAAGGGATTAAAAGAACAGATTACATTAGTAGCTGAACATAAAGCTTATGAAACACTTTTTTTCCTTTCATGTTACATCATAAATCAATCATTATTCTTCGACTAATAATAACATCACAAATGTTGCACAGGATACAACACCAAACTTTGTTACACATTTTATGAGTTTCAGGAAAAAATAAGGCTCAAATTTTCTGAGATTTAATAAAAATATTTTAATACACACAATTTGAAAACTATTCAAATGTATTTATAATATTAATGTAAAAATCCTTAAGTCGGTGGTCTTACAATCCATGAGAAATATATTTATGTTAGCAAAT